AAATATTTAAAAAAAAAACTATATAAGTAGAATGTTTATGTTAATTATTTTCATAATTTGGAAAATGAGAGTAATGATAGGCATAATAGTAGCTGCCATTTGTGGAGCCTTTACTATGTACATGGAACTCTTCATTTTGCATGTAGTAGCTCATTTAATTTTTGCACAAATCTGTGAAATACCTATTTTTTTCCATCTTATTGATATGGAAACAAAGTCAGTGAAATTTGAAATTAACTAAAAGTGGCAGGAGGAGTTGTGTCTATGTGATGGAAAGAAGCCTTGTTTATCACAGTGCTATACTGCCTGGATGATTTCCAAGGCTTCTGAGACATCTGTGATTCTGTCTCATAGTTAGGAATGTAAGTTATAACTGACTAAGCCATAAATGGAATCAAAAGCTGTAATAAGGTTGTTGCTTTTTAATGCTTGTGAGCAAAGTTCTCCACAGCAATAGCTCATACATAAAATTCTACCATATTAACACTGTCTTTTAGGCTTTTCTCATTCACCCAGATACATGTCGAGACTTCTCAGAAATACAGACAAGAAGGGTGAATTTACACTTAATAAGAGTTTATAATCATCTGTTAGATTTAAATAAATGTAATAGAACTCCAGAGATACTGTGCTGAGTAAAAGAAGCAAAAGGAAAAACACCACTGTTTTTCTCTGTTCTCAATACTTGTGACACCAAATGTATGCATGTTTTCCACATACCAACAAATTCTCTTTTTAATGGATACCCATTAAATTTGACACTTACTGCCTAGGGAAGTTAAACATTCAACCCCACAGACTGCCCCCTACATCAGGTGCCATTCATAAATCCCAGATTGTCAATTGTACTTTTAAATGATAAGCTATAAATTTAGCTGTTTCCATGAACCCATTCTCAGGTTCAGTAATTTACTAAAATAACATGTGATACTGACACAAGGAAGGTAGGTAGATTAATATATCAGATTGGAACACAAACTCAATAGACCCATGCTTAGCTTGGAGGTGTTATTGCAGATTATTGATGAAAAGGTGGCCTGTTCTGTAAATGATGCTTGGTAACTGACTATCCCATGAGTGTGAAATGTAAAATTTATCTCTTTTACATTCCACTTGAGTCAAAAGCACATACAAAGACCAAGGGCCTTAAGATATTAGAAGAAATAACAGGAGCAGAGCTTCATGATTTCAGGATAGGGAAAGAATTCTTAAACAAGATATACAAGCACAACTAAGCAGAAATAGGAATTATATTAGATTAAAATTAGGAACTTCTGTTTCTCAATAGATACTGTAAAGAATGAAAGATAAGCCAAAGTGATTTTACTGATTTACATCCACACCAGTAGTGAATGAGAATCCTTATTGTTGCATATCAACAACACGTGGTATTATTACTTTCCTTTACCTGATGGGTGTGAATGATATTTCATTGTGGTTTTAATATGCATTTCCTTCATTACTATAGATGTATATTTTATATATTGTATATACATTTAAACCTATTTATTACATAGTATATAAAACACATACACCTATGAAACCTTTAGTGGTTGTATCTGTTGCAACACCTTTTCGCTTCCAGTTTAAAAATAGGAATAGATTATTAACATTGTTTCACAGTATTTCCCTTTGTATCTTTGAATGACTTCTAAGTTTTGCTTATATCCTTGCATTCAGTCAGTTTTATATTAAGTAGTAATTTAGGCAGATGGTGCTGAAAAACTGAAAGACGAAAGAAGTAGATTAAAATAATCTTCCCTAGGTCAAATTTCCATGGGTTAGGTACAGTTTATGTAACTTTTTTTTTTAATACTCTGAAGTACACTAATTTTGTTTTTTTAACTGAAGGATGTCCCAATGCTGATTTGGTTTTGTACATGTTTGTAATTTGACAGCTCTTGCCTGTAAAGTCTTTGATTCACTAAAGATATGTATATGTAAAGTGTAAGAAACTTTAAACTTGTTGCTGGTTTGTCACCAGTGGCATTCTAATTGCATATTGCCAAGCCCAACAAGGATAAACAAAGACCAAAAAAAGGGACTATAGAGATTGTGCACAGGGACAGAGATGGCCTATTATGCCATGGGTATTCTTGACTGTTAGGCAAAATCCAGTATATCAAAAAAAAAAAAAAATAAGACTTTATAGATTTGATAATGGCGTTTATACTTTGGTTTCTTTTTCTTCTCATGTCCTCTTGTTTTTTGTTTTTTTTCTTGTAATGTGTTTTAAAAATGGAAAAGATATTAGATACAAAGCTAGTCTAGAATATTTAAATGTTAAATTATTTCAGGGAATATGTGTTTTTCACAATTCATTTTTCTTTAAAGCAGGTTTTCTCTAAGTTTAACTTTTTTTTTTTTTTTAATTTGTAGACACTGTTGATTCTATTACTCCTGACAAAGTTCGAGGCTTACGGGATATGCTGAACAGCAGTGCAATGGACATAATGTATTATACCAGTCCACTTTATAGGGATGAAGTAAGTGTCATAATTATCTTGTTGCTTAGGGTATTTTTTAGATCTCTTCAAATTTGTTTTCATTCTATGCCCACCATCACCCCAGTGATCCTCCACCAACCTTTATGGGCTCACTCCACCCTTTCCCAAACCCCACCCCACCCCAGCCACCACCACCACCACCCTTCCAGTTTACCCTCCTAGTTCACTCAATTTTGCAATCAGATGTCAAGTGTTGGTTTGGTTTTGTCTGACTGTTTATTTTGTTTTTCTGTATATTCATATGTAACTGAAACTGTCGGAGACTTTCCCCATCACAGGTTATTGGGGGGCAGAATAGGCAGGGTCTCAAGGTGGGAATGGCGTCTGCGAGCAGAGATTCCTAGAAAAAGGAGGAAAAGGGAAAAAAGAGGAGCAGGCGTGAGGAAGACACGGCAATGGGAGTTGGATGTAAGTCTTCCTGCTCTGCCTTTAGCAGAGATTTATTTTATACACTTTAAGCAGGCAGAGGGATGACATTAGCATATGAAATGGGCTGAGATCACAATCACCTAAGAATAATCTGGGGTCATTTTGACCTTCAGTTGGATTATAACATTTTTAAAATCAATCTTTCAAGGTTAAAACAGGTATATAGATTCACAAAGTTTAAGACTAATATTACTGTATTTACCACAGTGAAGATTAACCAAAATAAAGTCCCTTAAGCATTATCTATTACTTAAAGGCTTTCATTCTCATAGAGACATCCTAGGGGGTAAAGTAAAGTGAGGGCAGGAAGAGGAAATTTCTTGTACATCAAATTAAGGTAAGGTTCTTTGAAAAACTTGTTAGAAAGTTTAAGTGGGTTTTCTTGAAGTCTAATGGTAGAAAACCTGATTAACTCTGCATAGGCCACTTGGGTGAATTTCCATATCCAAATACTAGATAGTAGAAAGCTTGAGCAGTTATTTAGAAACTGAATAGAAGGCTATGTGAGATAGAATGATAAGATTTGGGTTTTCCTCAGTCTGGCAGTGAGAGAGAGTTTGCAGTAACAGCCATTTGTTTTTATTAATGACTTTTGACTTCAAGAGGAATTTCTCACCCTGGTGCAGTACTTGCTTGTCAGGGTCAGGTAGCGCCTTCTGAGGCCCAAATCTCAGTCTCTAGAACTATTATTTCTCTCTAAGAAGCATTAGGTTCCTTGGAAAAATGAGTGGCCTCAGAGCTTGGAGTAGGATAGATACAAGTCAACACTAGAACTGTTTGTTTGAACAGAAAGAAAATGTCCAAAGGTGTGGTGGAACAGGACACAGTAACAGTAATCAAATGAAAAAGCATAATCTGGAACATTGAGCACCAAATAATTATTTTATTTAAGGAATCATTGGTAGTACTTTTAAAATAGAATTGTAATAGCATAAAGTAATAAGGAATCATAAGTGATTGAGAAATTCGTGTCTATATTGATTATAAGTAGATAACTAGGAGTAAGGGAAGTCTTTTGCTTAAAGTAGTATGCCAAGGACTTACTGGTAGATATAGAAGGAATGGTGGAGTTGCAAAATTCATCATTTATAGTTAGTGGTAGGATCCAGTAAGAGAGGACTGAGAAAGAATCAGCAACAGATGCTAAAATAAGATAAATTTTTGACGAGGACAGGAAAACTATGAGGTCTTAAAGTGTATCCTCACAGATTGTTTTTAAGTTTAAAAGGATGAAAAGTGGAAGTCAACATCGCCTTTATTCTTTGTTCCTAAGGGACAGATGGATCTTATATTATCCACCAGATGTGACACCAAGAGAAGGACACAGTATTTCTTATGCATTAATACAACCATGAAGAAACAGCAAACACAAATAGAGAATTAATAAAATCAATAGTATTAGGACTGTGTTCTTTTAAAATGTGCATATTATAAAAGGTGATACTCCAAGTTAATCTGGAAAATGTTCCAGGTTAAAGGAGGTTAAAGAGACTTGAGGTAGATGCAACATCTTATCCTACACTATGTCCTGTACTGGAGGGAGGGAAATTTTTCAGATAATCAATTCACAAAATCTGGATTATAGTTTAGATTAAATATTGTATCAAAGTAAATTTACAATATTGAAAACTATTCTGTGATTATGGAGGAGAATAATCCTAGTCATAGGAAATACACACTGGAGTATTTAAAGGTAAAGGACCATGGCAGGTGGACTATAACTTCATAGCTCCACATGTGTGTTTGTGTGTGTGTATGTGTGTGATGGAAATAGAACAAATAGACTTACGTGCTAACAATAGATGAATCTTGAATAAAGGGTATTTGAGTGATCTTTGTACTATTTTTATTTGTAACATTTTATAAATTTGAAATAATTTCCAAATAAATAGTTAAGGGAAAAACAAAAAAATGGTTCCCTATATTGCTTCCTTAGAGATTTTAATTGAGTGGGCTGAGATAGAGCCTGTGAATTTGTGTTCCCCAGGTGGACCATTGGGGGAGTTTGGGAAATAAATGGTTAAAGGCATTATGAAGAACAAAAAGTACCTAGTGAGAAGTGGACAAAGTTGTTCCGACTTTTTAATCAGAAAGGAAAGCTGACTTTGCAAATCAAAATTCCATCACCAAAAAGTCTGTAACAATAGTCTAGATAAATTAATTTCTCTTGAGTGTCTGTTTATTTAGGGAAGGTAGTTATAAATAACAGCCAGAAGGGACTCTAGGATTAAGACAAATCTGGTGATAATGTGCCTTGTTTGGTTTATTTGATAAGCATATAAAAGCCTTTTACTCATTCCTCCTCTGCCTTTGCCATCAAATAGATGCAGATTTAAAACCTGCCACTTAACCGTAAATCAAATCCACTCTTAAACTCAGTCTTTCAGCTTCTTCAATTATAAATACCTACCTGATGAAAGATGTCATAAACACAGTATATAAGGTTTCCAGTATAATTAAAATTCCTGGTCATTAAATTTTCAAGTTGTGATTAAATATCAATCTGTCTTCATGTTTTTCAAGATCTGCATTAAAGAAAAGAGTAGACTTGTTCTGTTAATTTAGAAAGTAAAGTAAGAATCAGTGAATAGAGAATATGTGAAGGAATATGAAGTGTCCCAAGGAAAAACTGAATATGTGAGATGATGAATTTTAACTGAACTCGTAACTGTTTCACAGCGTATACATATACTAAAGCATTATGTTGTACACCTTAAACTTCTAGAGGTCATATGTCAATTTTATCTCAAAAAATAGGAAATAAAACAGAAGTGACCACTTTAGGATAAAGATACTCAGGCAGGTAGATGTCAGGCAACTTGTGAAGTTAACTACTGCAGTGACCTTAATCTTCACAGAAGTTTAAATTGGATCATCTTGAGATTCTGAGTCATTAATTGACTTTAAGTAGTGATCCAGTAGTCACTAAAAGCCATAGGTAAGGAAAAAATGTTCAGGTCAAACTGTCTGAGGAATAGTTAAAAAAAAAATAAAAGTAAAAATAACTATTATTTCACCAGAGAGCCTTTGGTTCTTACTTCAACCCTAAATGAAGTAACACAAAAAATCCAGAGTACTGTATACCTTGTATACATCTCAGCTCCCTTTTCAATGACTTTTAAAGGTGAAGAATTTCATAACACATGAAAATGATTAATTTTTAATCATTTAATTCATGTTGAATAAAACTAAATTTTTCACATTAAAATTCCTTAAAATAGAGAATTACAAAAGACTAATTATATTCTTTAGCTGTATTTTGAAACTTGAAAAAGTGCTGCGTTTTTCCCTTTTGTTTTTCTTATACATGTTAACTTTTAAGCTGTAGTTATGAGAATTTGAAACTCTTAGAAAAACCATCCTGTCACTATCTGTAAGAGGTTAGCTGACTTGATCAGTGCTAATAAAATTAGCACCAGGTATATCATTAATTTTTTTGTTTCAAACATCTCAAATGATGATATATGGTTACATAGATATACTAACTGGGAGAATGTAATTGGATTAGAGAGGGGAAAGTGGCAGGAACCTTAACAAGACAAGACTTTGGACACAACGAAAAGTTGGAATTCTGTTGCTGCCTAGTAGATGACTCACAAAAGCATTTAGAGGTAATATAAAACCATTTTTTAAATTAGCTTTCAAAATCATAATGTACTGACCACAATATTCTTTTTTATGTACATGTAGGCAGATATGTAAAATGAGGCCATATCTAAATATGTTCTAATAATAAGGAAGTAAGAACTATCTGTTCTATAAGTTTATATGGTTATTAAAATAAATGAAAACATAAGCTCTTCAGAAACTTTCCTTTGTGTCATATGGTTGGGTACTTTAGTCAGAGTATTAAAATATGTATCTTTAGCATTTCTAGATTTACATGGTATGAGTCTTAAAATTAAGACCTTCAAGAGTAAAAACTATTACTAACAAATGATCCATTTAAAGGAATTTGTTTTATCTAAACATTAGCTTTTCTACACCTCCCTTCGTATAGATTATAAATCAGGAAAATTATAAAATTTTAAAGATTAGTTAATAATATTAAATCCAAGTTCCACAGAGCCATGTAATTTCATATCACACATATTTCTTACACTATATTGACTAAAATTTATTACCTCCCATGTCATAGGTTTTCATATGCATTTACCATGGAGCACTAGCTCCTAAAATGTGCTAAAATATGGTCTCTTAAGTAGCAGCAGCAGCATTTTCTGGGAAATTATTAGGAATACAAATTATCAGGCTGGCTGCATCTCAGAATTGCTGTCAGAAATTCCAGGATAGTGCCTAGTAATCTACATTTAACAAACAGGTGATTCTGATGTACATTGGAAGTTAGAGAAGCATTGCACTAAAGCATGGGATTCTTTTTGCATTTCAAAGGGAAAAAAATTGAAATGCCCAATTAAAGTAAAACATTAATGTTCCTTCCAAGATGAACAATAGCTTATTGTTTCCACATGCTACCAGCTCACCATCTTCTCTTTCTTCATTGGCTAGATATATTTCATCAGACATGGTTTCTCTTGCTTTTACCAGACCTCAGTATCGCTCTATAGAGTGCTGAGACTGGGGAACTATCAGAGAATGTACCATTCCTTCATTCATGTCACTGCTAACCCCACCAAGCATGGAAGTGAAAAATTGCCAGGGTGAGAAATGGTTTTATGTTTATGTCAGCAGTTTCCATTTTTATCTAGAGGTAGGGAACATTCAGTAAAGTATGATGCTGTAGTTATTTCTTGAGACAAAATAGCAAGGTTGAAAAGGAAAGCAACCTATAAGATTTGTATATTGCAATAGCTACTGGTATTTTAAGTACTGAAGTGAGAAGTTGAATATCAAACAGGAAATTTATACTCAAATAGTAGCAAGCAATAAGAGAGAGAGGAGAGGACTACCTTAATCTTATTCTTCTGAATTTATATAATATCTCAGTAATATCTGTTAAAGCTAATTTTTAAGGAAAGTAATTTTACAAAGAAAAATGACTACTTTCCACATTACTAAACTCTAAACCTTAAAAAAAGACCCCTAGCTCCCATCCTTATAAAACAACTTACATCTAAATTGTCAGCTTAATGAATATAAAGTAGATCACTATTAGCTGTTCAGTAATACTATGACTTTTCATTACATTATTTTTATGCATAATGCAGTAGCATACTTTTTATCCTAAACTAAAATACTCTTTCTAGGAACGAGAAACTACAATATAAAAAATTAGAATTGCATATGTTATGTACATTGAAATGAAGACATTTCCTGTGGCTCTTTAGCAATCTTCTTCACACCTGTATGAAATTTTTAATCTGTGGAACTGTTGGATCATATAGTCATATTTGGTTTGAGGACTATGGAGTTGGTGTAAGGATTTGTATTGGTAACATCTGCCTTTATTCTTTAATGATAATGATTACAATATTGTATATATTTAATTTCTTGCAAGGTTGTGAAGCACCTGAGTTAATTTTAGTAATATGCATATTTGGCCAGTAATAAGTTTTTTATTTCTTAATGTATTTGAATTAAGAATTAAGGTTTATATTAGTCAGTGATTAATATGATAATTTTTTTTTCCAAACAGCTAGTTAAAGGCCTTCAACAAGAGCTCAATCGATTATATTCCCTTTTTTGTTCTCGGAATCCAGACTTTGAAGAAAAGGGGGGTAAAGTCTCAATAGTGTCACATTCTTTGGGATGTGTAATTACTTATGACATAATGACTGGCTGGAATCCAGTTCGACTCTATGAACAATTACTGCAGAAGGAAGAAGAATTGCCTGATGAGCGATGGATGAGCTATGAAGAAAGACATCTTCTTGATGAACTCTATATAACGAAACGACGGTAAAATGCCCTAGTCTCTTAAGAGAGTGTAAATTTTTTTCATGGAGTTACAAAACCTCTGAAGAGTTTCATGTTAAAGAAAAAAATACATTGTTTCAGAAACAAAACTTAGATCTTGTCTATGAGAGCCTATATTAATTTTCATGCTTACTACCTATTTTTTTCTATAGTACAAAATAGTTTTGTCATTTACTATTTTTCCTTCTTTTCTCCACAGTTCATTGGAAGTGAAGTCTAAAACTTATTCTGAGCTAAATTACTGTGTAGAATCCTTGATGAAAATGTTTACTAGTTTGTAGTCCTTTGTAGTTTTGCAAATCTATAGTGATGTTCCTTTCCCTTTTTTATTCTAAAAATAAATTTAAAGTCCTTTTTTCTTAGCAAATATATTTTTGATAGATTTTACAATTATTTGATCATATGGCCTTCCAATCCTATCTTTTAATTTTTGCTACATTCCCTTCTACATCTGTCATTACAAGCTCAATATTTGTTGTGCTCTTATCATATAGTTGAAGCATCATTCATTTTGATATCAATATAAAAAGACCATTCTTGTTGACTAAAATTTTTACTTAAGAGGCCTTGCATTTGTTTTAGTTTTATAAAACTTATATAAGGATTCATTCAGAATCTGAGTCCCATAGGCTAGATAAGAAAATTTTATAATGTCAAAATAATTTATAGTTTTGAAAGAAAATGTTATGTTTATCAAGTCTCAGAGCAGCATTTTAGATATAAAATCTGTTTAAAATTTTTAACTGCGGGCCCTCCCTGGTGGCGCAGCGGGTTAAAGCACAGCACTAAGAAGCTAAAGCCAGTTCCTCATGAGTTCGATTCCCGCCTGCCCTGGAGGTGACCACATGGCATGGCAGACCTCTCCTGACCCCCTGCTGCTCCCCTCAGCAGTGTACTTCATCAGTTGGCCTGTTCTGCTCCCCACTTGGTCTCTGGTGAATTCTCTCACCACCCCTGCACTTCTGACCTGTACCCCAGTTCTGTATGCACAAATAAATAAATCTTTAAAAAAAATTTATTAACTGCACCTTTTTTTAAACTTAGTTTCATTGTTAAATGTAAGGAGGTACAGAACATTGTAATAGGAAAGTATTCAAAGAATCCAAATGCACATCAGCAGAGAAGGGTTCAATTGTGGTTCATCCATATAATGGACAATTAACACAAATGTTAGAAAGATTGAGTAGGTTTGAAGGCAATGAAATGAAAAGATATCAAAGAGTTATTATTAAGTATAGAAAAGAATAACATGGAATAATATATGCTATGAACATTTGGTGTAATTTTTTAAAGGTGTGTGTAAATGCTTGCATGCGCCTCACATTTTATTGAAGGATACCCTCCTCCAAAAAGCTATTAACTATAGGTAGTATGATTTTACTAAACATTTTATAAGTTTTAATGGACTTTCTGTAATCCTGAGGTACATTTATTAAATACTAGGAATTTGAGGAATTGGATAATGGGCCATTTTTTTTCTTTATATTTTAATGAACTGTTGAGGATCTAAAGTATTTGAAATTGTAAATATGAATGTATACATAACTTTATATTCCTTCTCAGGCTGAAAGAAATAGAAGAACGGCTACATGGATTAAAGGCTTCATCTATGTCACAGACACCTGCCTTAAAATTTAAGGTAAGGAAAGAAAGGTGAGACTTTCATTATGCACCAAGATTTTTTTTTCAAGCATCATGTGAAACATTAGAATGCAAATGATATTTTAGGTATTCTTTCAAATGCATTTTATTGAACACATACTGTAAGTGTTAGACACTACTCGTTTCTGGATTCTAAAAAGAAAAGAAGGGATGAGGTATTTCCTCAGCTTTCATATTAATAGCAGCACACAGAATGATATATGTGAAATATATATAGTTATAACAAGAAGTTACGACTTTTTCTGAAAGGTTTACTAAGGAATGACAGTTGTATTTGATTTCAGCAAAGTGGATATTGCTAAATGAAGGAGTAGAAACCCTATGCTGTATAAAAGAAAGAGCATAAACAAAGACATGGAAGAATATAACCTTATAGTACTTTCAAGAAACAGCAAGTAATCATGAGTAATGGGAAAGAAAAATGAGACAAATCTGGGAATTTTTAATTTTTAGAGTTCACAAACCTAGTGACTAAACTAATTGTAGTTGGTTAAGAAAAATAAATAGAAGTATATCTATCAGTGATGATTCTAGGGATGGCATTTCAAAGAGAAATGTACAACAAATGCATAAGACAGGGTGGGGGTTTGGAGAAGGGTGAGCAAACCAGAATGACTGGAATATAGAAGAGGGCAGACAGTGGGAGATTAGGGAGAACTAGAAATAAAAACTTGTTTTTGATCTGAGTGGAAAAAAGCTTTATAAATCAGTTTTATATATAGCTTTCTCTTCTGCCCCCAAAATTTTTGTGCCTTTCTTTAACCTTTGTTGTCCTTTACTCTTTTCCTCATTTATAGAAAAAGAAATGATCATATTCCTTTCAGAAATCAGTGTTTTCTTGTATTTCTATATGTCAAATATTGTTTGTAATACTTTCATTTTTCTTAACTTAAACAAGTTAATTTTCTTCAATCTTCAGTCATATTTAAATTAGCCAATCCATGAAAACCAAAGCTTTCTAAACATTCCTTAACGTAATATGCCATTTCATTATAGATATATTTTTATTTTTTTTTTTTTTCATTTTGAAGAAGAAAAAATTCATCTGGGAGTAATTTTAGAGGGAGGGAATTAAAGGTGTACAAAACTGTAGGCAGGTGCACTGTTACAATATAGTACAAAGAGGAGGAAACGAAACATTAGAATTAGTCTGTTGGAATGACTGGAGGATGTTGGTGATAGAAGGAAGGATGAATTTGGGCTGTCACACTCATCAAGATTGTGTGAGGTAGGATTGATTTAGAAGAAAAAGTATGACGTTCTTTGTGTAAATCAGTGCTTTTAGCCACCTCACTTTTCTTGATGCCTTCTCTTACCTTCATTTCCATATTTCTGCATTACTCTTGGTTCTCCTCTCCTTTCATTCTCCCTTTTGTAGTTTCACCTTTTTCACCTGCTATTCAAATGTAGGCTTTCCTCATAGTTCTAATTAAAGCCCTTCTCTTACTCTGCACTTCCCGGTCTGTGTAAATGCACATCACTTCTTTGATAGTGACTCATAGGCTTGAATGATAACATGTTCAGTTCTTTATCTCTTGCCCTGAATTTTTAGCTCCATATTAGAGATGTTAACAGATACTTTAAATTTATGAACAAAAACAAGATTTGCATCGAGTTTTCTGTGGTTTAAAGGAGCCACTATCCTCTCACTCATTCAGACCCAAGTCTTATGAATTGTCTCTCTTTTTTCATGAGCCTCCATCTCTAATTAGTCTTATTAATGTCACCCTGTCTTGTCATATTTCTTTTTCTGAATGGAACAGCTTGTCCTGCCCAAGTTCAGATGATCTCTTTGATAAACACGTATTGGTACTATTTAACTTGTCTTCAGGTTACTCACTTTTCAGATTCACCCTGTTTTCCAACCTCAATTTTCCAGTTCTTCTACACTCTCTGGTACACATTAATACTATGTCGGGTTTACTTGGTAGTAAAATATGAGTTGAATCCTTTTTTCCTTACTACCTATATAGTAAGTCTAACTTTTTCAGTCATTATGCTGTACATTTGCATTGCAAGCTACATTGTCCTTACACACTCAAGTTTTCAACCGTATCAGATTATTTCTTTTCTCTAAATTAAACCCAGTTCTCCCCTGCCTCTGCTTTAGTGTATCAATGTAGAACATTTCCAGCACCAGTGTCTGAAACCAACTATGGAGATCCTTTTCATCCTTTATAGGCAGTGCAAAACACTACCTTGTTTGTAAATCCTCAACTATAATTAATTATTCTTCATGCTAACATTTGCTTCCCCCTATCTAGCACTTATTTTATTCTGGAGACTCTGCCTTATTGAGCTTTTTATCTTTCCTAACTCCTAGTACATTACTTCACACAGAATATTAGTTTAATACACATTTGATTAGTTTATAGAAACACATAATGAAGTGATCTTCCTTCCCCTGTCCTCATTCTCTGTTTTGTGAGACTTAAAATAATGAAGTTGCTCCTAAAAATATTGTTTAGAATAACTAATGGTTAACAAATAATACAAATACCACTTGGACAAGCTCATTTAAAAAGATAAGTATATTTGGAGTTACTTTTATTAGCTGCATTTCTTTATATACTATGTACCTAGAATACATCACCATCTTTTTAAATTTAGGATGCCTTTATCATTTTAGGTGGAGAATTTCTTCTGCATGGGATCCCCACTAGCAGTTTTTTTGGCATTGCGTGGCATCCGCCCAGGAAACTCTGGAAGTCAAGACCATATTTTGCCTCGAGAGATTTGTAACCGGTTATTAAATATTTTTCATCCAACAGATCCAGTGGTGAGATACTAATATAGATATTTTTCTGTCAGTAATAAATTATCCCTAAGAGACTATAAGAAAGTCCTATGAGATAACTCAGATAATCTGAACTAATAAAAAACTAATTTTTAAAATATTTGTGTTTGGTTAATTTAGGGATTGAAAAATAAAATACTTTAGAGATGACCAATTTTAGGTGGTAATTAAAAAAAAATACCTGGACATTTAATATGAGTGACTGGAGTCATCAGACTTTTGAACCTTAACCAATTGTAATACTATTAACCTAATAACCATAAATTTTGAAAATCCCACTTTAAATACATTTTTTCTCTAAAACCTACACAATATTAAAGTGTTTGTTAGATCCTCTTAGAAATGAAATTAGTTAAATACTATATTAGTTATATATAATTATATGTTTATAATATATAGCATGAAAAAGTAGAGAAGTTTATTTTAGCTTGTAGAATTATGAAATTTTGGATGTGAAATATGAAATTATGTTTGTTCTACCAGTTTTTCTTAAACTTTGCAGGGATCTTGTTTGGTAAATAGCTTAATGCCATGTAAGACTTTTAAATAAGAAAAAATACTTATTTAAGTCTTTTTGGGCTAGATGTAACTAAACTTAAAATGAATTATTTTAAGTAGCACTCATTCTCTGAAAAATAGCATTATATATTTGTGTAAGATCTTTTCAAAGAACTTTAGTTTGTACCAAATAAATATGTCATTTGCTAATTATCAGGATTCTAGAAAATTTTCCGTATGTTAAATATCAAAGCTGCTATACTTAAGAAATAAATTTCACTGAATTGGAATCTAATATTAGATTCAAATACAAACTACTCAGTCTTGGTCTTCACTTCTCAGACTATTTAGCTATCTGATGGTATATCTGGTAATATTTTACCTCATAGGGTTAGGATTAACTAAAATTTGTGTAAATACCTAATTAGATTTTAAGTATTTCATTAATATACATTTATTTTACCTGTTTCTTATAACTTGAAAGTGAATTTGAATTTATAGGTGAATCCTGAGCTTTCAGTGTGTACCCTGTCTTTTGTTTGATCTTGTTAAAACAGATGGTGCCAAACTCATGATTACAAATTAATTTCATATTCACTTTATAGTTTTTCTGTGATTTTTTTTAAGTAATGCTTTTTTAATAATTTGACTGTGGTTAAGTAATTTTCACAAATATTATCTGTTCTTTCCAATACCTTTGTGAAGTAGGAACTGAATCTCCTTTCTACAGTTCCAGAAACTGTAGAAAGTGTCATTAATAAGTGTCATCAATAAGTGTCATTCAGTTGATAAGTGACAAACACCAGAATACTCCGGAAATTTTGACTACAAGTACACTGCTTTTCTCTTAACATCATTCCAACTTCACATAGAGAAATGATGTTATATCAACATCTAATTTGTCATATCACAATATTAATCTGTTTGAAAATAGAGTTGGTAACAGGGCCCTCCCTGGTGGTGCAACAGGTTAAAGCTTAGCACTGCAAGCTAGCTGTAGCTGCTTCAACACGAGTTCAATCCCCAGCCAGTGAGATGACCCACATGGTGCAGCAGACCTCTCCTTTGTCACTCACTGCTCCCCTTTGTAGATCTGCCTACTCTGCTCCCCACTCGGTCTCTGGTGAATCCTCTCACCACCCCCGCACCTCTAGCCAAGTTCTGTATGCATAAATAAATCAATCTTTAAAAAAAAATGTTGGTAATAGCTTCTAAGATATTAAAAATGGCCCCTTTTTTGCTGTGTTAATACTCTTACCATTCACAGTTGAGGGCCAAAAGACCCAAAATTCCCTAGTTAGATCAGATTCTGTAGTTCTAGAACAAGTACTGTTTACTGCACACTGCTTTCAGTACTGTTTGTGAGACTAGTATAAAATTGTTAAATGAGGCTTCCCTGGTGGTGCAGGGTTTAGTCTCAGTGCTATTCAACTATTGCCAGCCACTGCCCGTGAGTTCTATCCCCACCAGGGATCTAAACCATGTGGCACAGCAGACCTCTCCTGTCTCAACCACTACTGCTCCCCTCAGCAGTGTATTTCAGTAGACTTACCTGTTCTGCTTCCCACTCGGTCTCTGGTGAATCCACTCACCCCACACCCCACTCCTGCATCTGTAGCCTATACTTCAGTTCTTATATGCATAAGTAAATATAAATAAATCTCTAAAATTGTTAAATGATATCAGAACATAATAAAAAATTAATTTCTCAGGAAAACTAATTAATGGGCATTGTTGGCCTAGGCTAATTGTTCTTGTTTATAATTTCATCTCTAAGGATGTATAGACCAAATACATACTTTTAACAGTCAACATTTGGGAATACATGTTAGAAATATCAATTTTTTTAAAAATTTCTTCTCTCTAACCTTTACTGAGCATAAAACAGAATTCCAAGTGTCAGTCATACACTAATGATAATGTGTCTTTGAATTCTTTTGTCAAGGCTTACAGATTAGAACCACTAATATTGAAACACTACAGCAACATTTCACCTGTCCAGATTCACTGGTATAATACTTCAAATCCTCTACCTTATGAACATATGAAGCCAAGCTTTCTCCATCCGGCAAAAGAACCTACCTCAATTTCAGAGAACGAAGGCATTTCAACAATACCAAGCCCTGTGACCTCACCAGTTTTATCCCGCCGACACTACGGAGAATCTATAACAAATATAGGCAAAGCAAGCATACTAGGTAGTTTCTCTTAAGTAATCCTTATCAGTGAATCTAAGCACTTTTTCTATACGTATTATATTTGGGCTCCATTGAAAAAAACTGTGTATTGTAAAATGTCTAACAGTTAATCCCCATTAATTTTCTCATTGTTCATATTTGAGAACCACAAGCTCTGAAGTATTCGATTTGCAGATTCTCTTGTTTCAGAGCATGAGCTAGCTGGATAGACAAGAAGAATTCTGGGATTTAATCCCCTCTTTTAATCTTATCCCTACCACTTACTGTGTAATCTTAAGGCAGGTCATGTAGTTTTTAATATTCTGCATCCTCATCTGTTAAATGAGAGCCTACTTACGTTCTGAGGATACCCCTGCCAACCCAATGTTAAAAGTGTTTCAAATTTTCTCTTTCCTGAGGGATACAAGAATATTTAATTTCCCTTTGAATGATCCTCATATAGTACCATTCACTTACTTTGGTAAAACACTGGAACTCAATTATTTGCCACTTGAATTTGTCCATTGCTTTTAGTTAAAGTTGCCTTAATATAAATATGCCACAAGGTGGCACTATATTAAGCTTTATCTGCAGAACATAACTATATTTCATTTAGTCATTCTTGCAGATTGTTTATTGAGAGCATCTTTGTAACATAACCGCTTCAGTAGTAAGTTTATCAATAGTAAATTTATACCCATAATTTTATTTAAAAATGTATTAGGTTTTTTCATTTTCACCAGATACCTTGAATAAAAAGTACTTGAATAAAATAGAATCTTTATTCCTTCATTTTTTACTTATATTTGTATTGATTATTTACCTTTCATTCTGTTTGGCTCTGTTTTTATTTAGAAACCTATAATCAATTTTGATTTTCTTATATTTCCAACATATGACTAAATTTTGGTCTTTAGTCAAAACTGATGGGTATTGATGTTTAACTTGAAATATCAGGTAATTCAGTGACCTCCCGGTTTTGTGAAATACAGGTGCTGCTAGCATTGGAAAAGGACTTGGAGGAATGCTGTTCTCAAGGTTTGGACGTTCATCTGTTCCATCGGAGACATCAAAAGACACTATAGAAGAAGAAAAGAAGCCAGTCCCCTCACCACCTCCTGCCACTGTGGCAACACAGACTCTTCCACATAGCAGCTCTGGCTTTCTTGATTCTGCATGTTAGTTCATACAGTTTGTTCCTTAAGTTTATATTATATATTTTTAAACTTGAGGAGAGAGCAGATTAAGATATTAACACCGTTCCTCTGCTTACATTTTTAAGATAATCCCCAGGTAAACGCAGTTACTGTCTGCATTGGTGAATTAATAATTAAGAATATTAATGATCGGGGCCTTATAGTATAGGGTTCTTAGACATCAAGCATAAAACAAATCTTGGGGGTAAATAATGATTTTTGTAGAGTTTTTTATACATAGTCCTCAGTCGTAAACATGTTTATGTAAATATATCAAACCTGTGCTATATAGTATTGGTATTTTTTTAAAAATTCCTTGACAAAGGCCATTCTGCTCCTAATCTTACATTTCCCTTTATCCAGCATTCAAAATTTAAATTGTAGTGGATCTTCTGTGTGGTTTACAGTGTTATCCTAGCTACCTTTAAATGAAGTAGTTACTCAAGAAATGAGTGAATAAGTGAAGTTATGCTGGACTTCTCACTAGCATGGAGCATTAGTTAATTTTTTTCAGTAAACTTATAAGGTTTAAAATATTTAATATTTATGAACAACTATAAATATATTCTTAAGTATATATTTATTGCCAGGGCTCTAAACTTAATCCTTATATTTAAATCTGAAACAAAATAAAACTAATAAGTCAATTCCTATTTTCCTTTGATATTATAAGGAAATATAGGTTCTAAACTAGCTGTTGCTTTAACTATAAAGCAAGAGGAAATTTTTACTTTTATTTCTCTAAAATGTTTTAACAGATTTTATTTCACATATTCTATAGCCTTATTTTCTGTGTCTATTCTAAATTTTAAAATGATCAGTATCCACTGCCATCTGTAAAATTCACTTAAAGTAAAATTCAGATACAATGGTCCTAGAGACTAGATCTTTCTCCACAGTTAGCCATACACCAGGATGAGATGTCCCACCAAGCTTAATTGGGCCAATAGCATTTTCAACTTTATTTAATTACTGTCAGACTCTGGGCACTGAAAATTTCATAATTGCAAATATTTTGAAAGTTCTTGCCTGGAAATTTCTTTCTAGACTTTGACACTTTTACAAAATTCTTGTATTTTCTTATGAATCCCTATACTGCTGCCGACATACATTCTCATTTCTATTTAATATCAGAAATGCTATTGTGGAAATAAAAAAATTCTCCTGTGACATGCAGATATCAAAAGAACTCTAAATTTCTGAGGAAAATTAATTTCAAAGAATTTTATAAGCTAGCAGATAAAAGTCACAATTCCATGTAATCATATACAACAGTGATAAATAGGAAATATTAGGATGAATGAAAGAATAAGAATAAGGTAGGATTTGGGCCCCAAAGAAAGGATGAAAAGGACATATGTACAGGATCTATAGAATCTGAGGCAAGAAAAGTATTTTTTCATTCTTTAAAATTTATTTTATCGATTTCAAAATCATATGAGAAACCCCCAATTTCTTCTTTTAGGACAACAGTCAGTAGAGGTGATAAGCTGTATTGCCTCATCATATTGTGATAGTTTAACAAAATATATTTTGTCATGCTTGCATATAAATTCTTTGATGGTCTTAATAGTACATTCCTTGTTGATTACAGACTCAACTAAGCATGAGCTAATCATTAAGTCTTAGTTACATATATTCTTCTCTAAACTTAGATGTAACATAAAAACTGAACCGTTGGCAATAGTAGGATTCTGCATTTCAAATCAGATTCCCAAGATTTGCCTTACTAATTCTTGGACTTACCTCAATAATTACTTCTTCAATGTTAACCTGATTTAGACGATTTCTTTTGTCTAATTGCTGTTTTGGCTTTATCTTGTAAATCATGAAACCTTTCTTCCTTCAGTCTTTCTGCAATTTGGTCTTTGTGACTTGGTGTGATTCTGGCTTCTTTCCTTTCTTCTTTCTGCTCACACTGATTACCTGAGTTCTCAATAACCTTTAATTCAGTAGCTCCTGACTTTGCCTCTTGTTCTTTGAGGGTAAGTGGATGTGGACTTAAGAGTTCATGATTGATTCAGGGTTACTTTGAAGAATAACTTAAACTTTCAAGCCATGTTATTGTCATCAAGTTGGAGCATCTTGTATAGCTACTCTTCATCTCTTTTGAAAATCTAGGCTTTTTTCCAGTGGTTTATTATTTCATTTCTTGCACACTCCTGTGTTTGTCACAATTATGAGAAGATCTATTTCTTTTAGCATTATTTTGCCACTAAATTAGCCTGGACATGTACTATAAATTTGGGGGATATCTGGGTGTTAACAGATTATGACATGCTATTTCAAAGTTACTTATGCTTACATTTTCCATGAAAGAGCTCTTCAAAAGAAACCACAGTGTATACTTCTTTATGTATGCTAGTTTAATCAACTAATTTGGGAGGATTGTTCTAACTTTTGGCCACTGCATCAGTGAAGGCCATTTGTATCCATCAAACAACACTTTACAGCATCTTATGTTTTCTTTTCACAGATGTCAGACTTCAGGAATCGTTATTTAATCTCCCACAACTTCTTTTTCCGGAAAATGTAATGCAGAATAAAGATAATGCCCTCGGTATGGTATATGTCAGGAATAGAATTCAGAATACTATGAAAATGACCTACACTGAGTTCTTTTGCTCACTGAAAAATTGGATCAATTCTTCTATGAGATCAGCTTGAATGTTACCATTATAGACTATTGTATATATATTTCTTCCTGTATTTTCTAATCTTAAGTGGTAGTGGTCCTGAAACACTAGTATTGATAAGCTGCTTAATGTGATGAGATATATGATACTCCTGTATTTCCCACAAAGAAAGAAGCTGATAGAGAGGGGAGGAAAGCATTAGGTCATTTTCTTCTCTATTGTCCTGGATGCTTCAGAGGAGGTTTGCTATTCTTTCTGTGTAATAAAGGTAGATACAAAAAAATTTCAAATTATAAAGAATTTAATCATTCATAGTTATTTCAGATTTCAATAACATAATCAATACTTATAGTTATGGCATAACTGATATCTGGTTTCAACACAACTATTTAATATTCTTTGGAGGAACAGGTTCACTTTTTAAAAATTAATAATAGGTATGAGATATTTTTAATCTCAGTTTTCAGCAGATTTTGAGGTTTCACTAAAGATCAATTTTAGCAGCTTAAAATTGTTTTTATCATTAATTTCTTATTCCTTTTCCTACTACCACTTCCCTCCCTTCTTTTAATAGTGGACTTCATTTTTCACAAAAAAGTATACTACAGGTTTTTCTTTGGATTTTATTAATCATATCTGATTTTTCAAGTTCTTTTTTTAATTTCTAATTTTCATACTTTTTTCATTTCCAAAAAAATTTGATGCAAATTCCAAACCCAAAACAAGCTGGTTTGTTTTTGTTTTGTTTTAGCAACAGTTTGATCTAACTTGGTAAAATTCTCAAGAAATAAACTTGCATAATTGCTTTCTCTGGTCCTTACCCATGTAATAGTCACTTTCATAAAGAAATCATTTGATTTTTGCTTTTTGAATTTTTGAAAATGAAGCCACTCATCTACATGGTCTATGATCAAGTAGACCAAGTAGACCTTATATCTACTGTCTTAAACCCACCCTAGTTTCCTAAGCAATTTGACCAGTAATCCTAACTACATCTGATTGAGATAGACACATATATGTGACTTCCACTTTTTCCTGCCCTATTTTTAGCCATTCAACAATAATTTTTTAAGTTTACCATGAACTAAGAAGCAGTGATAGGCATTAGAAAAGATATCGAGATAAAACAAACTTCAGTGCTTACCATAGTATACTAAATGCTCTTGTGGAAATTCGATCCTTTATGGAGGGTAAAGTTGTAGTAAGAAAAGTGGATAACTCAAATAATTATTATGGTAGACTATGATAAGCCACATCGGAGAGTACATATAAAGAATTGTATCAGTTCTGAGGAATGAGAAGTGTTTTCACCTGGGGAAATCATAAAGGTCGTGGTGGAAGTAGGACTTGGACAGAGAATCAGAAAATAGATTGCAGAGAGAAGAAACAGCATCAGCAAAAACATAGAAACATAGTACTTATAAAGAACAAAAGTGGAAGTTTTCTAAATGTGTCTAGAAAAGTTTCTTAGATGGTTCGATCTCCTAGAATTTCTTTATATTCAGGATTCACCCATATAAACTTTATTTGCCCACAAAGCCCATCTGTTATTAAATGTTAGGTCTGTGAATGTCTTTCAGGGTAGATTTATGATAGGAAAAAATTTGACGGATATGACAACAATTATAAAATTCATTTTAGAGTTGTTGATTTTTCTTTTTGATAAATGATGGTTGGAGAATATTCTTAAATATATTTGAACTGAGATAATTTACAAAATGTCAGTAGTCCTTGAGTGTCAACCAACTAACCACATGAAGTATATAGTAAAAGCACAAAAATAAGGTTGACTTGCTAACAACAACTCTGGACATAGTCTTATTGCTAATGAATCTTACACCAGAGTTTCATTTACCAGTACTTATATTTTTCTTGATGTTTTCCTGGAGCCCAAAATCATGCAATGATGACCATAATAATTATTTACAAATAAAATAATTTTAATTGTATTTTTTTATTGAGGTATTGTTCGCTTACAACACTGTATTGACTTAAGGCTCTTGGTTCACACCCCTTAGATGTATGTTACCACTCTATGTCCACCATCAGAGTATGAGTAATCCTCAACTTCCCATTGGACCCGCTCCTATTTAGGTTCCTACCCCTTTGCTAGCATCCTTTCTACAGTCAGATTTCTAGTTTTGTCTGTTCCTCTGTTTTGTTTCTATTCCACACATGGCAAATCAAATAATTTTTATAAATTACTGAGTTTTTCAAAAATCTCCAGGGAAGTTATGATACATTCATTTAAATAGGCAAGCCCTGTTTAATTAGGACACATTATATTAATATATTTCCTATTTACATGCTATTGTTTTCCCATATTGCAAGTCTTGTGCACAAAAGATTCTCTGATGAAAGCATAATACTAATGACACTTCTCATTCATACTATGTGGATTGTAGATATTGACTTTGGGGAATGAAGGGAAATCTGCCTATTTGTATGACTCCACAGAAAAGAAACCCTGTGTTTTAATACAGTATAAGCAAACTGCTGTGCTGAAGATTGTTTAAAAAAAAAAAAGAAAACCCAACAGGTCTTTTCCTCATTTATATTTCAACTATTTGGGGATCTTGTTCCAGCACTCACGTACTTGAGAGAAAAAGAAAAAGTGATGCTTTTATGTTCTCCTTTTTCTTTAACCTAACTTAGAGGAAATAGGGAAGAAACTAACCTGTGTGGAGACTTCTGTTCTTGATATGGTAATAGGAAAGTAGGTCCAACATAATCCATATAGACTTGAACCTTCTTTGAGTAAGAGCAGACCTCAAAGCAGAGAAAAGAATGGTGCTGTTTACAACCTCCTCCCCTTGGGAAGTCTACAAAAGGAAAAAAGATGAATCTTAGGCCCATTGAGTTCCTTTCATCCATTTGAAGACCAAACACATGAGGCCAAGTGTACTGGCAGCCAGAGTACATGGCATATAAACCTTTTGAGGAGGGTGAGGCCAAAATAGGTGATCAGGTATAAGCTGGCTGCCTAAATTCCCATTTTGATAACATACAGATAAGTAGTAAAGGACTGGGAGGGCCAATCTAGTTAAGGACACTAAAGTGAAAGAATGACAAGGATGTATGAAAGGACATTAAGGAGATCCTTAGTGTCTGGGTGTTGAATATATGAATGGCTGGTTATACAACTGTAATAACATTAATAAATTTCAGGGACATAAAAGTAAAGCCAAATAACACCTGATTTAGCAGAAAAGTTCTTCCTTTGACTTTGAAACAACAATTTAACTAGACAGTTGGACTAGGAAGACATGGTCTAATGAATCTTGGTGGTCTTTACCAGTATCAATGCATGTGTTTTCCAACTCTAATGTTTTCTCTTATTTCTCTTTAACTAACTTCAACTTGACTTCTCTTCACCATGCTTAAAAAATTCCAGTTTCTTTTTTTCATCCTCTTGTCTATTGTGCCAGAATACACCTATAGACTTAAGACACATGTCCCAAGGAATACAAAACGTAAAAAATTAGGACATTACTACTCCCACAATTAAATGTATTTCAACTATTTCAACTATTTCTGACCTATTATAGATTAGTTTATTATAATTTAAATGAGTAAAAATTTTTTACAAGTGTTTTATAACCTAATTGGCATTGACTACTTAAGTGTAAACCTGATTTGAAAACATACAGATAGATCCCTGGACATTCCTGTAACAAAAGCACACTGGAATAAAAAAATTACTAGTGTGAAGTATTTTTAAGTCACAAAAGGGCATTGTCACAAAATAACCCATTTTAAATAAGCACTAGCTAAACATACACACACACACACACACACACACACACACACACATGATTTGCTTAGTGTGATTATTAAATTCTCAGTTGAAAGCAAAACCCAACTTTTTCTTTAACCTCAACTTTCACCAGTTTTTTACTTGTAACAACCTCTGGCCCTCTGAACAAAACTGATTTTTGAGTGTCTGAGTGGTAGTGATTTAGGTGTTTTGTTTTGCTTTTAAAATAGACTATTCAAAATACAGTGTGTCTCACTGGCAGTTTATAAGAGTTTCTGAAGTCAAAATATTTTTGTGTTTTATCACTAAGCATTTATTAAATGACTTCTTATAATTCTCTTAATAGCCTTCATTTGATAAGGCGACTTTTTATTTTCTAACAGGTATTGCAGGGACTCTTCGTGGATTGATTCATTGTATTGTTTGAGGACATTACTATTTATAAGAGAAGTGGTAGCCCAGTGCCTTCCCAAGCATCACCCCAGTTTAACTTCCCCAGTCACCGAGTGGATTCTTTCCTTGCACTCCAATTTAATGAGCCCTTACTTTCCTAGATGCATTTTGGACTCTAGTGACTACATGGAAATTAGGGTGTGTTGTGGTGGCCTCTGAAGAATTTAGCCTAGTAAGAAAGAAAACATTTTAGGACTGTAAACAGATGGTTATCTTCTTCCACTGCCTCACAGATCCAATTGATAACAAAAGGCTGCTTCCCAGTGAAGGAGCCTTTGTGTGACCTGTCGCTCTCCCCCAGGCATTGTTGCTTGTAAACTTGTCCCACAATTCTGCAGTTGGGCTGTATTTCTTATTTTACAAATTAAGAACAGATTAAATGGGAAAGCCAGGATTTGAGCCCAGTTTCTTTACTCCAAATAGAGCAGTCCCCTTTTCCACTGTTTTGCATAGTTTGTTACTTGCCATCTAAAAACCTAATACATACAGTGAGATACTTTGAGAAGACCAGTCACATTTTGTGACAGTATAATCTTTTGCCTTCTTTATAAAGTAAACTTATATACATATAGGGAAAATATAATATGTACATGGTTTGTGTCGACTACTTTTGCACTCCATGATTCCAAGGAGTTTTTGATTTTCCTTATTACTCTATATTGACTTGAGTGTGCAAAGGAAAGAACTCCACCAAATAGAATCCTGTGCTATTGAGGCTCTTGAGGGTTTGGTATTTTTGCTTGTTTTAAGATTAGAGTGAAAGTTTACTTAAATAGGTAATTAGAATCACTCAATTTTTATTCTCAACTCTAGTAAATTTATATAGTACCTAGCATATTGTAATCTTTATTCATTTGTTTGACTTCTTTTCTTTCAGTGGAATTGGATCACAGAATTGATTTTGAACTCAGAGAAGGCCTTGTAGAGAGCCGCTACTGGTCCGCTGTCACATCGCATACTGCCTATTGGTCGTCCTTGGATGTTGCCCTCTTTCTCTTAACCTTTATGTACAAACATGAGCACGATGATAACACAAAGCCCAACTTAGATCCAATCTGAACTCTTGAAGGACATTGGTGGCCCAAAACTGATTTTTTTTTCTGTTAAAATATGTGTGTCAAGATATGGAGATTTCAGTTTAAGTATGTTTCAGTTTTGTTTAGAGCAAAAAATAATTTAAAGCACTTTATTTAAAAAAGAAAAAAAGAACTCAGTCCAAAAGAAGTCATTTTCCATTTTCATCATTTGATTCTGAGTCTTTCAGAACTCCCTGCATGACCTGGAAGTGAATGAGGAAGGTTTGGAGAAATGCAAGGTTATAAATCACAATCTAATTTCTCCCAAATATAACGGTATATTATTGGGCTGAATCTGGTATATAAACCAAATATGTTATCATCTAAAATGGTCAGAATAGCCAGTTTATCCCTGTGTAAAATTTATAAGGTGGTTGGTATCCTTGTGATTTCTACTAAAGATTCCACTTCCACAGTTCTTTGAAAGAAGAGTATAGCAGATTTAAAGTGTTTTGAAATTAACCTGTTTAGGAAAACTAATGCTAAAACAAAAATATCTCAACTATATTTTTAATTTATTGCCTCTGACTAATTGCTTTATTTCAATGTGTGAAACATTACATTCTTTAAAATATTTCCTTTGAACAGTTTAAGAACCACGTTTATTTTCTCTAGAGTTAAGACCCCACCTTTCTCTCCCCCCCCCCCAAGAAATCCATCTTTGTACTCTTCAGATGAATATAGAGACACTGTGGCTTACTTTCAGTATTTGTTTTTCCATTAAAAATTTGTGGTTTCACACAGATAACACTAGTTATTTTTTTAAAAATGAAATTTGTATTTTGTCACATGTACCTCAGAGAAAGCTAAAGTTTTCTAAACTTGACACAGAGTGCTTCATAATGGGTACATCTTGTTAACTTTGATGGAAAGTTAGTATGACAGCTACTTTACATATATAACATCAGTGTGCCAAACAATTAATGTATATATTGGAATGGTGTGCCACTGACAAATTTTACTTTTAGTATTTTAAGAAAACATGATTGAGGCATAAAGCACAATAGATCAGGATTCTGAGGTGTTGGAAAAATTTTCCTCAGCTATAATTGTTGACACAGTGCTTTTCATCTGAGGAACTCAAAGTTCTTTTAAGACTCAGTAATCTATGTAGTAGCTCCTTGAGGTAAGTATGAGTGTTCTCTCATGTTCTGTTTTAATATACCAAGGCACCAAAACATTTAAAGTGCCTCAATTTAGATTATGGAGAAAGCTAGAAAAGCTTAGATTGAAGCCAGACCGTTTTATATGCCATACAGTGACTAATAATTCACTTAAGACCTCTTAGTTTGCAAACTAACAACAGAGGTTGCATTTCATAATTTGGAGAAACTACTTTGAAGCCAATGTTTTATCCTACTTATACATTCTTGAGTTTTCACATACTTGAGGAAGAATTACTAGAGGGAATGAGTAGCCATCTCTGCCACAACCAATCCTCACTTCAGAGTGGCTTCCACTAGGTTCCACTTAAGGTGCTGTCTTTGCTTACCTTGCAAGGATTCTCTTTGCCTCCCACTAATTTGTCAGCTGGTAGCAGAGTTGGTCAGTTGCACATCTAACCTCCTCCTTCCTTTATAAGGTAGTAGAAGCTGTGACTTAATTTGTAGCTTTTACTCAGCACATGTCCTCGTGTTTTTTGAACTTTCAGTTAATTTGCACAACATAAATCACTTCATTTTAGTGTTTAAAAAGATTTGTAGGCTCTGTGACCAAATGTGTAACTAAGAATCCCTTACTATAAAAGACTTTTGATGTGATCTTAGCAAAACTGAACCTTTCAAATTTAGAGATTTCTGCGTACTCAGGTCATTTTCATACCCTGTTTATTTTGTAGGTCTAATTTAGTTCTCAGGAAACCTAAGCTCATGTCTCATACCACTCATGTTTTGAACTCATGTATCACTGAAGGTACATGTGCATATGTTGCTATAGATGGTATGACACTAATCCCTAAGCTTTAAGGGATTCATTCTTAACCGCTAAGATGTGAAGAGCCCTTTTTACCTGAGAAGAGAAAAAGTCAATCAAACCTCTTAATTTGTTATTGAATAAAAAGAAAATATATTCCCATATCTGTTGGAATATATCTGCTTCTGTTTTTTCATATTGAGAAAACAAAATCAAATTTAACCATGTGAAATTTATTTGAATTCTTGAAAATAGTGACATTCAAAGCCCCCTTTTCAAAATGAGATAATCTGGATTACTGGACAGGTTTTTTTTGTTTGTTTTCAGTTTATTGTTTCATCAATAGAGATGGTGAGCTTGATTTTGCAGTATCTTGTTTCCAGTCTCTGCATGTTATATCATGGAATGTATTTGTATATACTCAAGTAATATACAGAGTATGTGTAATTCTGGCTTGATTTAGAAGCTAAGTCAGTTACTGAGTAACATTTTGCAACTTTATTCCAGCAAGTACTAAATTAGCCAAAAAGTTCTGTTTTTGATACCATTAAAATTTTATTCTCTATTTTGTGTATATGCTATGATGATTCTTCTGAGTAATCGATCACTCAATTTGAATCCAATTAGGCTCTCAAGAGATACTGAGATTTAAGAATGGTTTGGATTAAATCTTGTTTTATCTTTAAGATTGGGCTTTAAAGCCTGTTTTTCACATTTTTATTTTAAGCAATATTTTACTTGTTATAAAGCAGTGTTACTGTACTTCAGAATGTACTTACAAAATGCCCTGGGTTTTTTAGTAACTATTCTCATACAGAACATATTCTATAGAAATCCTCAGACAGTAACTTGTAAACATTCACCCTTACTCACTTTTTTTTTCTCTTGACTGTTGTTGAGGGCTGATGCAACCTTTTCTCCAAAGCATTTAATACACCAGGTCCTCTTTGCATTCCCCCAAGTGTAGACAGAGGAAAAGAAATTGTTAGTGCAGGGTCACAGCCAGCTCCACCGTGCATTCCAGTGAGGGCATCTAAGCCTCTCTCAATGGAATCAGACGAAACTTGAAGACTTCACTAAGACTCACAGTAATTGCTTTCTAATTAATTACACTAGTTAATATTTCTTCTCAGCTATTAATGGGTAAGGCTTTGGCCAGTTGGAAAAAAATTTTTCAGTTTGTATCTTTGGTGTATGTTTAACACTTTGAGTAATCTTGTTGGCTTGGCAACGGGACCAAGAAAAAATATATAATGGTAAGAAGATTCAAAGCAGAGCTAAAAGGAAGATGTCAGTTGTACACCACAGAAAACTAGATTATGACCAGACTGAGTGTTGGATGACTTCTGCCTTATTCTCCAGTTGTCATGGATGCTGATGCTCTTTGCCCGGCATCAGGCGACACCCTGGCTGAATTTAGAACACATGCTTTAAATATTTTTCTGACTTGGTATGGGTAATGCATATAGTTTCCTAATGTTTTATAATATTATATTGGAAAAAGCTGCTATACTTACAAAGAGCATGTTTGGCAGGAAGATCTCAAACTGGATTCATAAAAACTGTTAAATATGGGGCACATCTAGAGATCCGGTTCAACCCATCCCCAGTGTCCTTGCATTTTCCTTTTGCATTTGCCTAGGTGAAGGAAGATGCTAAAGTGCTATTTTATAGTGCTGAACCTAGAACAGTGTAGAGAATGCAGGCTGTGGAATTACAAATTACATCTTAAAGGTCTCATTTAGTAAATGCCAGTACCGTGAAAGTAACAGCCTGGTTATATATCCTTTTCTGACTTCAGTAGATTTTGTGATAGTTTTTCAAAGAATCCTAAAATGTCAGGGTTTGTATAGAATTTAGAGGTCATCTAATTGAGTCTTTAGTTTTGACTAAGCATTTAAACACCTTAATAAAAAGTGAAGAGCAGCATATTCAGCCCAAAGCCTCAGTGAGACTGTACAGTGATAGAAGTGATGGGATCTCTAAAGACACTATATTAACAGTAGTAGAATTCTAAAACTGGCATGGGTGGAGAGATCATTTTCCAAAGCAAGTTCTGCAGAAGTTAACAGATAATCTGCCATCTCAAAAATGTTTGGGAAGTATCACATTTAAGATTTATTTATAGCCAGACTTTGGGAGCCTTTGATACACTAAATGCAGTATGAATCTATCTGCTGTGGGAGGTGGGGAATTTAAATTTAAACAAACTTGTATTTTTTCAATAAGAATATATTAGAAAAGTGCTGATTATGTTTAATTCCTTTACTTGTACAGAGAACTATCCCTTCATGTGATTCCTCCACTTTACAAGTTAAATATGCACCCTATAAGGATCACTTGACCAGCCATTAGCAGATCTCGTCTGCTGGTTCCAAACTCTGTTTTATACCTGACCCTAGAAATTCCTAGAAGGCAGAAAACTGCCTCTCTTGTTTTGTTTTATGGTGTGTGCTTATCTTCCCCAGCCCACCCCTCGCCCACTGTGTAACATCACACACATCATGATGCTGCATGCACTTGACCTGGGCCTCTTGCTTGAATCCCTAGTTGCCGTCCCCTGTTCTAGGCCCTCTTGAAAGAGTGCTCCACCAGGTCTGGACCAACTTCCTGTCATGTCTCAGATTCAAAATACCCAGAAAAAAGAAAAGCAGATGAAAAATAAGAGAAACAAAATAACCCTGGAAACACAAGTTTTACATTTTGGTGGCATGCAAACTTGGTAGGGAAACAAATTCCCCAATGTTAAATGTTTAATATTTCTTTCATTCCATAGTATTGATGTATTGGCCTTTCATAAATTCTTAACAAGTAGGTAACTTTGGAAATGATTCCAACAGATTAGTGATTTTAAATTTAAGTATTATAGTTTTTGGACAATTGCAAGTTTTTTTTGCTGGTGAGTGAGTGCCCAAAATAGCCTCAGGGCAGACAGTTAACAAACTTTTCCTCTGTCCTTGTGTTGGAGTCAGAGTGGGTGTATGCTTAGTATTGTCCCTTACCTTACGGTTTTTCATTATACATGGCACCTCCCCACCCTACAGCTGCCAGGATATGTTAGGAAATTATTCTTTATGAAGATTAGAACTGGTCTGTTGTAGGAAGATAAAAAATAAGTATATTAAACTTCACTGTTAACGCTTCTTCTGGGAAGACACTGAGTATCCATGAGGATCATTTATAAGAGTATCCATGAGGGTCATTTATAACGTCCTTTGACTTCACTATGCACTAACATCCCTGCTTGACTGAAAATATTTCATTATGTGAACTTTGTGTCTGATTCAGAGTCTAATCCCAACTCTGCCAGAAATTTTTGCCTATTGCTCATAAGTACATTTCTATCTTTCAGCTTCTGTGACCTTATGTTCACATTACAAAGTGCTGTCAGTGCCAGTCTTAGAAGACAGCCTTTTTCCTTTGTTATATATCCTTTTCAATAGTCAAAGCACATTGGTTTTCTCAGAGTTTCCCATTTACTAAAGTGTTATTCCTGGTTGGTTGGTTGGTTAGTTGCTTTCTGCAGTAGTCAGCTTGGATGGCAAGAAAAAAATAATCACAATTTTCACTTTAATATTAGCCAGTTTTTATTTTTCTCTGGTGCAACTGGTGCATGCACACTTAACTTCAAGAACTAAAAGGTAAATATAGTTTTCTGTAGCTAAATTGTTTCTCTAGCTGAATTGACACCTTATTCACCAGGAGCCAGTAGTTAACTCCCTACATAAATTTCAAAATAGGCTGTTCGAAGCATTCTTGGGAACTTAATCCTCCTGATTCTATGCAGTTTATTTGATTTTTCCCAAAAATTTATGAAGAGTAAACACATCATTAAAATCTACCTATTTATGAGCTATAAAAACCACACCACCTCCTAGTAGAGTTGGTGGCCGCAATGGCACTCTGACAGAGGAGAAGGGACACATATAGGAAAAGATTGGTACATTCTGATCTTGTAGAGACCTATTCTCACCCCAAAAGTGTTCCAAAGATCATAACTTCCAAACTTTCAGGGGGAGATACTCAACCCATAGGACCTTCCATTAACAACATGTACTTCAGTAATTATACTGGTTTTGTTTTGTCTAAATTTAGAGATTTGATTACATGTCTCTTCCACTTGTTTTGCAAGATCTCTGAAGGTAGGAAGCATTTGAGCCTCATTGTCATATGATCCTCCACTGGGCACCAGATCATAGACGCTTAACTCATTGAATTAGATCTAGATTAGTATTATGTACCAGTTTCTATTCTAAGTGTTAGGAGTAAGCATGAATTTAAAATATGTAAAAATCCTTTCATGTAGTTTAATGATCTATTAGAAAAATTATGTGGCCAAATTTCATGAAAATTGTAGTAAAAAAGTTATGAGAATGGGAATCAGGAAAAAGGACCTTGCACTTTTCACAACCAGAAGAAAACAAAATTGAGATCTCAAGATTCAGCAGAAAAGTGGAAATTATGTATTAGAATTGATGTAAATATAGCAGTTGGGTGTATTACTTAAATATAACAAGCTCTCTGTGGGGTGCCCCATGGTGTCAGTCTTCCCCTTACAGAGATCGCTTCTTGTATCTCCTCTCAGACACTGTTCCCTAAACATAATTGTGTGTTCAACTCTCTGCCTTTGCACGTGCTGCCCCCTCTCCCTAGACTGTTCTATTTTTTCCATTTATTGAACTCCTATTTATTTTGAAGTCAGCAATCATTGCCTTGGTGAAAAGGGTGGGAAACACAGTGCTCCCCTATGCCTTCTGCTGTAAATTATTTGGTCTACATACCAGATGGTCATTTGTGATTTACCCTCACTGCAGGAAACAATGGGAGAAAGGCAATGAGGTAAAAAAAAAAAAAAAAAATGGGATTCACAGGCTATGGTAGTTGGTCAATTTGTTTTGTGAAAGACACACTTTGTTGTATTTTTTTTCCTAAAGAAGGGATTGTGTTCCAAATCTGTTAAATAGCTATTGCAACCGTTTTTGATGTTTAAGGATCACAGTACACACACACACACACACACACACACATTAATGCATCCAAAGGTCAGTTCTTACACAAACTTTTGTCTGTGATGGGTGCTGGCCTCTTATAACAAATATGACCTCAGATACCGCAGCACAGTGAGGGAAGGACTGGACTGAAGAGAAGTGTCCCCACAGGTAGAGACAGTGAAAAGTTGCTTAGGCATTGAAAGCCACTGGGTATCTGGTGGAAACTGAGTCTGGCTTGTCACACTAATACCAGTCTGCAGAACACAAACATTAAAGCCTGGGAATTTTTCTCAACTAGTTCTGTGATTGTAAAGATTTGCTCCTACCACCCATTTCAAAGGAATCTCTGCTCATTTTCTCCTCTACTGTAGCAAGAATTAAGGACATATATACATACATATATATGTATGTAGATGCATACATACATATACTCTAAGCTTATCAAGTTTATTAAAAATGTTCAATCTTGTGACTTTCATTAAAATCATTGTTAACCTATTTGTTAGCTATCCCCACTATTCTAGATGCTTTAAATGTATTCCTCATTGAATACTCAGAATACACCTAGGAGGTTGGTACTTTTGTTAGACCTTATTTTTTTAAGTAAGGAATCAAAGACACAGAAAGGTATGGATAATCAGCCCCAGGTCCCACAGCAACAAGACAGTGGTAGAGGCCACTGTGTCTGTGCTTAGCCAGGCACT